ATGTGTCTGGTGCCTCAGGAATTGTGGTCTCTGTGTCTTGCAGTGCCACCATCCCGATGCCCGTGGCTGGTGTTCCTGGTGCCCGCATATCCTCACTCATGGACTTCCTTTCCTTGGTCCCAGCTTGCGGGTGCCGGTGCAGCCCTGGGCAGTCCCCTCCCCAGCTCCTCACCCCCTGCTGTGGCTCTCAGACTGCGGGCTCGGCGCGAGGTTGGCCCTGCCACCCCCCGCTGCGCTGCAACCGCTTCGTGCCGAGCTGGGCCCCGCGTCCCCGCTGCTTCCCTGGCATGGCGTCGCGCTCGGAGTGCGGAGCTGGCACTGCCAGGATGTGAAAAGGGGACACTTGTTTTTAGAGCTTTTTTGGAGGCTTCCTCCCTGCCATGGGGACAGGTGGGACAGAAACCTGTGTGCCCTTGTGCTGCTGTCCCAAGGGCATGTGCCTAGGGGCTGTCGAGGTCTGTGTCCTGCAGCCACCATAGGACCAGGGACGCTCATGGGGCTCGGCCTTGGCTCCTGCTGCTCCCCAGCAGCATCTGCTGGGCCCCGTCTCCGCTGGCCTGGTCTGCTGTGGGGCAGGTGTAGCCCAGAGCTGCTGTCCCCAGGCCAGCCCTCCCTGCCACCGGCCCCGGCCTATGGTACAGCCGAACCTACAGGCCGAGGCGGCTGCTCCCGCTCCCTCGGCAGGCCTGGCAGAGGACTGCTGCACTGCTGCTGGGAAAGGGTGCCCAAGGGCTTGCTCTTCCTTTGGCAGTGCCCGCTCATTAGCGTGGCTTTAATCAAGAGCGTAAGCAGGGTAACTTATAAATGATGCAGAATCATTGGTGATTAATGCACTGGGCAGGGCTTAACTATGGCATGCTTGTCCTCGCTTTTCTTAGAGCCTGGTTAGGAACTGGAGGATCTTGGCTTTACAAGAATGCTTTTGATAGCTGTTTTTGCCCTATAAATTTTTGGAGCTCCTGCATTCACAGGTCTGTACAGCAGCAGTTCTGGTAAAAGCCTGCTTTGACCTCAACTGTAGAGCAGGCTGGAGAACATTAGGCTTGGCTGAGGAATCGTACATGRAACTTTGTATGGTGCCAGCTGTGCTCTGCAGGTCTTGTCCTGACAGCTACCAGTGCGGCCTCATCTCACACGTCTTTGGGGTAAAYGCTATACCTGATTTCTGTGGTGAACTCTAGTTCCAATTCCTGCCATTAGATCTTTTTTGGTCTCTTCCTGCTAGCAGGTAGGATTTACGTGCTCGTAAATGTTCTCACTGTGTCTCTTGAAAACAGACCGAGTAACACTGGTTTTCCCTGTAAGCTGTTGCAGCCAGGGTGCCTTCAGCTGTCGCCGTTGCCAGGTCTGGGTGCATCTGTCCCAAGCCTGCAAGAGGAGTGAGGCCTGACCAGCTCTGCCCCTCTGTGCTCTCGCCCTCGTCTCTGCTGAGCTGGAGCTTGGGGGACTGTCTCTGGGTGTGAGAGCAAAGCCCAGTGGCTCTGTTGTCCTCTTTGCACCTTCCTATGAGAGTGGTTCCTCCCTGGGCACACTGGTGCTGCCCGTGAGCAGAGGTCTGGATAAGGGTCCTTATGTACAAAGGGCTGGTGGGAGCTATGGCCGTGTGGTCCAAGCGATACTGCCAGCCCTGGGGGGGCGGCAGCAGTGGCCCGGGGATCATCCTCGCTAACCAGGGAGTGACTCAGCCCCAGGGCAGCCATATCTCCAGATGGACCTGGACAGGCTGGAGAGTTGGGCAGAGAGGAACCTCATGAGGTTCAATAAGGACAAGTGCAGGGTCCTGCACCTGGGGAGGAATAACCCCAGGCATCAGTACAGATTAGGGGTCGACCTGCTGGAAAGCACCTCCACGGAGAGGGACCTGGGAGTCCTGGTTGACACTAAGTTAACCATGAGTGAGCAGTGTGCCCTTGTGGCCAAGAAGGCCAATGGGATCCTGGCCTGCATCAGGAGGAGTGTTGCGAGCAGATCAAGGGAGGTGATTCTGCCCCTCTACTCAGCTCTGGTGAGGCCGCACCTGGAGTACTGTGTGCAGTTCTGGGCTCCCCAGTATAGGAGGGACGTGGAGCTTCTGGAGAGGGTTCAGAGAAGGGCAACCAGGATGATTAAGGGAATGGAACATCTCTCGTATGAAGAGAGGCTGAGTGAGCTGGGCATGTTTTCTCTGGAGAAGAGACGGCTCAGAGGGAATATTCACAGGGGGATATGATTAATATGTATAAGTTCAGGAAGGGAGAATGCAGGGAGGAAGGGGACAAGCTGTTTTCACTGGTGGCCAGTGATAGGACGAGGGGTAATGGCCACAAGCTGAAGCATAAGAAGTTCCGTCTCCAGGTGAGGAGCAACTTCTTTACTGTGAGGGTGACAGAGCAGTGAAACAGGCTGCCCAGGGAGGTTGTGGAGTCTCCTTGTCTGGAGGTCTTCCAAACCCGCCTGGATGCCACCCTGTGCCACATGCTGTAGGTGTGCCTGCTTGAGCAGGAAGGTTGGACTAGATGATCTGTAGAGGTCCCTTCCAACCTTAAATATTCTGTGAATCTGTGAATCTGTATCTCAGCATCCCCGCACTGGAAAGCTGGGTTGAACTGGGCTAAGCTCCCTGCAGAAACCCAGAAAATTCCTGGGCAGACCGGGAGTTTGCTGCTGGCTTCATCCACTGACTTTCACATTGCAGAGGTTTCAGTCCCTAGCTTTAATCTTCCTAAGCTCACTTAAAGGTGTGGGAAGCCAAACCACCCACTTTGGACATGCTCAGACCCTTTTCCATTCAGTTGGATGTGAAAAGCTACTTAATTTATTAGTGTAGATGCATCCTGTGAAGCACCAAATCTTGTTCTTGGCCTGGGGCCAGCTGGCAAAGTCAAACTACATCCACAGCACTAAACTCTGGACTGCCAGAGAGGGGAGCATGTCGGTGCTGCCCATGAAGGTCTGTGCTGGCCTTGGAGCCGGGTCCCAGGGCRCTTTGGGTGCCTGCTGGCTGCTTCCAGCCAAAGAAGTCCAGGGACAGTTTTAATCCAAAGGGGACCAGTGGTGGAGATCGCTGGGTTCTTGGGCTGTTCCTGGCCCCGCCCGTTGCATTTACAAGAATAGCAATAGCATTAGACAACCATCTCTTTGCTCCTGCAGGCAGGGAAATATGTTGCAGGCAACACATCTTTCCTTCAAGTTCTTCTGCCGGGGCAGTGCAGGAGAGCGGGTCCCTGCCCAGGCACTGCCTGCAGCTCGGCCTGGGGCTGCGGGACTGTCACCGTGGCCGTGCTGGAGCCGGAGCGCTCCGCCGTGGAGCCGGGAACTGGTGCTCGGGAATACCGGAGTGCCCGGTGGTTTCCTTGCTGGCGCTGTCCCCAAGGTCAGCGTCTCCGCGTGGTGCAGCGGAGTCTGGCTGGGGACGCATGTGGCCCTGCTGTCCCGGAGACCTTCTTCTTGGGCTCCCTGAACGACCCTGCTTTCCTTCCTGGTGATCCTTGCAGACCGCAGTCCTACATCTGGCAGAGAGGAGCTTGCAGCCTTTTCACAGATATATCTGTTATCGAGCTGGATATAGTCAAATACAAAGGAACACATTTTAACAGCTGACCTGGAAAAGTGTCCTTTCCCTGTCCCTGTTATCATTTCTTTTTTAGTTTGGTTTCTGTCTTTTTTTTTTTTTTTGCTGTTCTCCACTGCCCTCCAGGGCTCTGTTTCCCCAGCAGAGATCACAGCACTGAGCCTGTGCCATGCTTGCAGCCTGTCAAAGGACATTGCCTTGTTTACGGAGAGAGAGCACATGGGGGTGGCAGCCTCTGCCTCTTTTCTGTGAGCTCCTGTGTCTAATTTTCAGCCAGAAGGCTTTGAGCGCAGGTCCAGGCACCTGGGTAGGAGCTGCCATGGTCCTCATTAGCACTGTGTGAATCTCGTGGTGACACTGGCACAAACTGTGGGGTGACCAGGCCAGGGTGTCCCAGGACGAGAACCTGCGGGGCTGCCTCMTGCCTGGCTGCGGATGGCACTGCCCGCCGTGGGGCTTCCCTCCCTGCTCCAGAGCAGAGAGCCATGCCAGGCAGATGAGGTGGCCAGATTGAGTTGCAGAGTGTGTTTATTCCAAGCTGCCCCATTTTTCTGTCACAGCTGATATATAAATACTGTGTCTGTGCTGCTGCCTACGCAGTTCTGGGTGGTGTGCCAGGCATCTGTGATGTGCGCATCCACAGGGCAGACCAGAGCTCGGAGGAGCCTGATTTTACATCACAGCCCTGATTATAGAGTTGCTTAAATATAGGTTTATGATTTTGCTTTGTTTTGTTTTTTGACTCTATGGACCCTGCAAAACGTGGGACTTGCCTGCCCAGAAGGGCCCCGGGCGCCCGCCCGGGCTGCGCGGGCACGGGTCGTGTCAGGCAGCTCAGCTGCTGCTGCTGCTGGAGCTGCATGCAGCAAAGCTCAGCAAAGCTCCCAGCAGACTGACGTCTGAGCAGTGTGTCCTGCTGCACCACGCAGGTGCCTCAGGCCTGCGAGCAGCTGCCCTGGTGCAGAGCTTGTGTGGATGTCGCCCGCGCTCCGGCGGCAGAGCCTCCGCGGTGCCCTGACACTGCCTGTGAGGGCTTTTCTCTGTGTGATGTGAACCGCAGGGGCTGATTAAAGTGCCCTGCTGGTCCCTTACTGCTTTGCCGCTCAGCACAGGCCTCTGTGCGTCCTCCGTGCACTGTGTGCAAGGCGGCAGGAGCCTGCCAGGCCCCTCGTGTGCAGGGACCTGCACTGCTGCAYGAGCGTAGCGCTGCTGCACAGCGCGCCTGACCTGCACGGGGCTGCACTGGCCCCTGCCAGCCGTCTGGAGTGGCCTACTGTGCCACATCTCTCTGGGGACAGACCTGTCCCCAAAGCTGCTCGGGTAGCCCTGGAAAAGCTGCTCCTGGGGGTCCTGCATGGTGAGGTGCGGGGGTGAGCGCGGGTCCTGAGAGACCTTCCTTGCCTCTTTTCCTCTGTGCCCTCTTTTGGTCCATCCCTGGCTCCCCCAGACAGGCCGCCGTCCCCTGTCAACGTGACTGTGACGCAGCTGAAGGCGAATTCTGCCACTGTCTCGTGGGACGTCCCTGAAGGAGACGTGGTCATCGGCTACGCCATCTTACAGCAGGTACCCGGGCCCTGTCCCCCAGCTTGGGCAGCTCCTCAGGGATTGCTGGCGGCTCTGGCGGCTGCCCCGGCTTCTGCCGCCACCTGGAGCCCCTCGGACCTGCCTGAGGCCTCTGCTGCTGCTGGGCAGCCCTTGCCAGCGTGGCCACCGGGAGCCCTGCGGTGGGGAGGCCGTCCTGCCAAGGCCTTCCTGGGCTTTACCTTCATAAGGGCAGACTCCCACCTGGACGTAACTGTTCCTTGCCTGCCCGTTCCACCTCCGTGTTTCCTGGTGGGGGGAGCTTCTGCGTGGAGATGCTCCGGGACATAGCATAGCAGTGTCACCCGGGGACGGGTGAGCCCCTGGGAAGGGAGGACCGTGGGCAGTGCGTCCAGCACAGCCCTGCACACGGGGCCGTGCCTGACGCACATGGGGATGGATGGCTGCAGGAGCTGATGGCTCTGCGCTCTGGCAGCGGCAGGACGGGCAGATGCAGCGCTTCATCCGGGAGGTGAACACCACCAACAGGGCCTGCGTGCTGTGGGACCTGGCGGAGGACGCCGACTACATCATCCAGGTGCAGAGCATTGGCCTGTATGGGGAGAGCCAGGCCAGCAAGCGTGTGCACTTCCGAACACTGAAGGAGACCGACCGGCTCCCCTCCAACAGCTCCAACCAAGGTGAGCCGGCTCCTGCCACCCCACCCCGGTGCCAGAGTGGCCCCGTGCCTGGAGATCTCCACATGGAGAATGTGGCAGACTGTGAGGAAGGGGCTGCCCTGGGCAGCAGAGTGCAGTGGTTGTACCACAGGGTTGTACGCTGCTGCTGTGTTCACTATGCTCATGATGTTCTCCCCAAAGCCTGACTTATCACCCTCCTATCTCAGGTCTTATGAACCCATCCAGTTAAGCGGGCTGTAGCCAGCACCACCAAACTGCTGTCTGTAGAAAGCCAATATTGAATAGGATCTCAGATCTACTGTCCTGCAAGCTGCCAAAGGACAGACGCCAGAGCCCCACTGTCCCCCTTCCCCTTTGTATCCACGTTGTGTCTCTTGCCTCAGAGTCCCCTAAGCTGATCACGAAGCCAAGACAAACAATACCTAGACTCTGTCCATCTGGCATGGAGCAGATCTTGGTGAGAAGGTGACCACTGCCAGCCCTGCTGTGTCCTCTTCTCCACAGGGGACATCACCATGGAAGGGCTGGACAAGGACAGGCAGCTGCAGACAGGCGAGATTATCATCATTGTGGCCGTGCTGCTCATGTGGGCAGGTAAGCGCTCTGAGCAGTGTCTCACAGGTCGGTGCAGGGGCAAGGTGTGCAGTCTGCAAAAGCAGGTGAGGCTCAGAAAGTCCAGAGAAATACAGATTCAGGCTTGGCATCCTCCTGGATGGGATGGAATGGAATGGAATGGAATGGAATGGAATGGAATGGAATGGAATGCAGCTTGAGCCAATAGGGTGTGAAGAAGATCTGCAGCCGGTGAAGATCAGCTGCACACAGTGACAGCCTGGAGCACGTGGCCTGGTTGGCCTGGGGTCTCTGCGGGAAGAGCAAGGGACAATATGGAACACAAGCAATACAGAATTACAGGGTAGGAGCACTACAGCTGGCGTTAATGAGTGTGTAACTAGGACCTTAGTTCAACTGGTTGACGTCTTTTTGGTGTCAGGGCTACTGGCTTGTAGCGGCTGTGCCAATATCTGCTTAAGTTGTCAGATGTGTGAGCTCCTCCTGTACAGCACCCGATTACAGCCAGTGCTCTGGGAAGCAGCAGCTTGCTCTGGGAGCCAGGAAGCTTAGGAATAGCTGGCAGCTCCTGGCTGGGTTACACACCAGCTGCTGCGAATGGGAAATTGCTTTTCTCCTGCCCAGTAAATGAGGATTTCCAAGTGATATCTTGCAGAAATTTTTCCTTGTCTTGACTTTGAGAGCGTTTATAGAGCACTGGAGGAAACCACAAAATCCCAATGCAGATTGGTGTATGAGTGCCAATGTGAGCAGTGAGATCCAGGCTGCAGGTGGCTCTCCTAACACACGGGTGGGTTGAGTGGGTCCCACATGCCTAGTGCTGTTCAGAGCATTCATGCTTCAGGGTCCCAAGTCCAGGGTCACAAGGTGTGGAGCACACTGTGTGCAAGACAGGCCCAGTAAAACTAACAGAGAGACCCCAGTGGGCAGTTTGCAGGGCAGGACAAAGCCAAGAGCTGCCTTTATTGAGAGCCCCAAGTGCCAGGCCACACTACTAGGGCCATAAGTTTGGTATCTTGCTAGAGACGCTCAGAAACCTGCTCAGCACAGCCCAAGGGCTGACCACAAGCGCTGTCTGTCTCCGGGTGCCTCAACATCTGCAAATTGGTTTGTTGACACCGAGCCCCTCACACGCCTCATGCGTGACCTGGTGGCTGCAGCCACCTCTGTGCCCTGCCTGCCGAAGGGGACGCCTGGCCGCCCCCATTGGAACGGAGGATGAGGGTGAGCAGCTCCCAGGACCTGCCTGCTCTCCAGCCGGGGTGCCCTGGGAGGGGAGGCAGGGACTGGCCCCCGGGGAGCCTTTCACCGCCTTTCTCTCCGCAGCTGTGATCGCCCTGTTCTGCAGACAGTACGACATCATCAAGGACAACGACTCCAACAACAACAAGGAGAAGACGAAGCCATCCTCAGAGCACAGCACGCCAGAGCGGCCTACTGGGGGGCTGCTGCGAAGCAAGGTCAGTGGGGAGGGTTGGTGAGGGCAACCGTGTCTGCTGGCTGGACGGGCTCCGGCTCCCTCCGGAGACACAGAGGCTCCAGCTTGTGCTCTTGCCCCCGAAACCAAGGAGTGCAGTGAGCCTTGGACTGTCGGGCACTGTGTGCCCTGCGGGTGGCTGCAGAAGAAGCAGCAGAAGGGAGGCCAGGGCACATCAACTGGGGCAGCTCCCATGTTGCAGGGTGGTCTTTATCCTCCACGCAGCAGCCAGCGCCTGGCCCTGGCACGATGCTCCTCCGAAGCTGCACCTCTTCTTCATCCCATGGACAGGTCCAGCTTTGGCCTGTTGAGGCAGGAGATAACCAAGCTGGGCTTCTGTTCCTGTGGCTTCTGCACTGGCCCATCTCTGATGGCTTCCAGCCTTCCCCAGGGCCTGTTCTAGGCCATCAACATACAGGTCATTCTTGGGAAAGACCTCAGAGCCTTCTCCCCACTGCAATGCAGTGACTGTGACAGGCTTTGGGAAGGGTGAGAGGGCCTCATTCATCTGTCTGTTCCCTTGGCACCATCTCTTCTCCCTTTGGTGCCTGMCAAAGACATGTGCACCTGGTGCACATGTTGTAACGAGACCTTGCACTAGGTTTGCCCTTGCATCTCATCTGCCTCCTTTGTCGATGGTGCCAGCTCCACCTTCTGTGTTGCTCACCTGCTCCTCTGCTTTCATGTCTCGTTTGCTCCCAGCAGAGGCTGGGGGCATAAACTTCCTTGTGTGGACCTCAGCCTCCCAGTACCGTCTCTTCTACCTGCTGCAGCTCCCCAATTACTCCTTGCCCTCCTCCTGGATCCTGTCCTCCAAACTGCTCATACTGGTCTGTAAGGGCAGCCCCTTCCTGCTGCTCCCTAAGATCTTGACCTACCCATGGCTGTTGCAGCTCAGTGTGTCTCTTTACCTTCATCAGATTCCTGGCATTCTTGCAGGTGACAGAGCTGCAAGTTTGTCCTTGCAGTCCTTGATTATAAAGCTGGAAAGAAGGCATAGCAAATAAAAAGCAGTTACATAATTATGCTCTGTATCCCCTTCCCCTACTGGCTTTAGGACAAAGGTGCTGCAGGGTAGCAGACAAGAATGCAGGTGTGGGGCTGAGCCCCTTGCAGAGCAGGGCCAGGAGGACTCGCTTCCTGCACCTGCTCCAGGGGGTCTGGGCTGAGCTACAGAACATGTGCCAGGCAGGACCTCTTCCCTTCCCTTCCCTTCCCTTCCCTTCCCTTCCCTTCCCTTCCCT